TTTATTTGTTAATATTTATCTGTAAAAGTAAAAAATAAAAATAAATTTAATAATATATATTTATATATATATATATAATATATGTATTTATAAATATTAAGAATATGTCTGATATATGTTATTATTTTTAATTAATAAAATCTTCATTTATACTATTACTATATCAATTATATTTTTAATGTCTCATTATAATTATATTCTTTTTTTCGAAACTATTTTTACAAATACCATCAAAGAAAAAATAGAATTTAATTTTTACTACTTATAAATGTTAAATTATCGCTTCAAAATATGTATAAAATACAAAAAAAAATTATAAAATTAATATACTTTGAACGTAAGACATTTTCGCATAAAGCTAGATTTATAAAATAGATTATTGCGTGTTAGGATTTAATTTATATCATTGAAGTTATACGATAAAAAAATTAATTTATCAATATATTAATCTTTATCTTTGTATATTATGTTTCTGTTATAAATAACCACAAAAGTAAAATAAAAAATGATAATAAAATTTATTATATAATTTATAGCAGATTTCTAATTATCTAAAATAAGAATTTTATAAATTTAATTTGATAAAAATTAAATAAACGAATAATTCTTATGTTTAAAAAATTCTATATACCAATGAAGTAGATAACAAATATATAAGCGAATCAAATCAAAATAATAATAATTGAAAATACTAATAATGTTAATGTTAAGAATAAAATATATATAAAAAAAATATAAAATATATATAGATATATATATATAAGCATAACAATATATATATATCTTTATAAATATATATATATATATACATATATACATATATACATATATACATTTATACATATATACATATATATATTTCAATTAATCCAATTTTGAACAACTTTATTTGCAATTAAGACATAATTTTAAGAAGTAAAAATATCTATTTCTTAAAAAATAGCTTCAATTAATTTTACGAAATATTAATTTTATAAAAACTTAATTTCTTTTTGATTTATTTCGTAACTTTTTTTCAAAAAACGAATCAATAATTCAGTTTTATTTTCTGTAGTTTATATGTTTTTGAAGTTACAAATAAACTTTATACTTCTACTAACTACTAATAAATGCTATTAAACCGCATTTTCTAAATTTAAAGGAAAATATAATTAAAAACAAACATATTTTAAACCTTTAATAAGCTGAAAAAAATACTGTTCTATATCGAATTATTTATCTTTATTTATTATTTATTAAAGATAATTTAATAAACATTCACCGAATAAATTAGGAAGCATTATTTATTAATTTCTAATAGAAATTACTAATAGAATCCAAAGTACTTCTTATACTTTGCGTATTTTATAATAGTTAAAAAACACTAATTTAAATATTAAAGACTCTATAGGTCTTTTTTAGATTTAATAAAGTACAAAAGGACATGTGTTGGTAGAAATAAGATATACTATTTATGAAAAACTTAATGATTTATTAACTATTTTTTATTCAAGTAATATATCTTCGAGAATATATGAAGAATTTAATAGAGAATTCGTAAAAAGATTTTGAAAACTTTCCTTTGAAATGAAATTTTCAGATCTTTAAGATTAGGTTTATGTATTTGTTTATTCATTATAGAAATTCATTTTTTTTGTTTGAAAAAAAAAAAAAAAAAAAATAGTACAAAAAATAAAAATTTACTACAAAAAAAATATATTAAAAAGAAATAAAAAAAATTAAGAACTAAAATTTTGGTCAAAAAAATATTTTTTTTATTTTTTTTTATTAAAAAAAAAAATTTAATATATCAAATTTTATTAAAAACAAGAATTTTATTTAAATTATTTTAAAGATTTTTTTCAGGAAATTAAAGTGTATTTTAGAAAAAAAAGAAGTGTATTTTTTTCATTTAAAGGATTATTTGAGGAATTTTATCTAAAATTTCTTCTTTTTAAATAGTTTTTAAAGGTTAAAAAGTTAGATTTTTATTTATTTTTTGAATTAAGAAATTTTAGTTTTGTAAAAAAAAGAAGAAATTTCCTGAAAAATTAAAAATTAGAATTTATTTTTATCCTTTTTGCTTTTTTTTAGAAAATTCAAAATAAAATTCTTCCATTTTTTGTTTATCATATTTTTCATAAAATTCTATTTTTTTTACAAATTCCCTAAATTATTCAGGAAAAAGTACCAAATTTTCATTAATAAAAAAATATATTTAAACTTTTGGGGTTTATATGGATTCTTTTTGTAAAAATATTTGCAAATTTAAATTATTCTAGCAATTTATTTCTATAAAAGTGTCCAAACCTAACATTTTTTCAGCTATTTTTTACTTCTCATATATATTCGGTGTGCTTAAAAATGCAGATTCGTTCATAAATGTATTTTTAGTGAAATTATAACCATTAAAAGAGTTTAAAAAATGAAAAAACTATCTATTTTGCTCTTAAAAAATATCAAATTAATCTATTAAACTTTCGAATTTATCATTTTATTAATCTTTAATAATATTAAAAGGAAAATACTTGAAAACGAACTAAATATCGGAATGAAAAACCTAATTAATATGAAAAAAAAGTAATATTTTTTCATAAAAGTTTAACGGTAAATTTATATTTAACAATAATATAATTTCATTCTATATTTTTTTTGATTTTTAAAAAGAAAGATTTTACAAGAAAACATTTTTTTGAGTTTTTTCTTAAAAAAAATAAAGATTTTTTTCTAAAACAAAAAAAAATAAAATTAACAATTTTTCGAAAATTTAGTTATTATTTTTTGCAAATTTCCCATTAAAATTTGCGTTAAATTTATATTTTCACTTATTTTTAAATGAAGATAATAATTTTTGTATATAAAATTTATATTAAAATATTCTTTTTAGGGAAAATTTATATGTAAATTAGGACTTTATTATTCTATTAACTCTATTTAAATTGTTTTTTGTTAGTATTTTTATTATTAAGTGTTGTTTAGTGATTTTTATATATTTATTAATTCAGTAAGTAAATATATTATGTTCATTTTATTTACTATATTTTGTTTTTTTTTAGCTAAAAATTAAAAGAATTTTTTTTAAAATTATTATTATTTATTTATATATATAAAATCATTTTTTTATAATAAATAAAATATATATTAATTATAAATTAAATAATATAATGTAAGAAGAAGAAAAACAATAAATTTTAATTTCCTAAAAATAAAAAATCAATGAGTCAAACAATTACGCGTGCAAATAATTAAGTTAAGACTAAAATTCTTTATTAAAGCGCTATTTAGAGCCCCAAACGCATATATAAAATAAATCTTTTATCGAATATATACTAAGTATATGTAGAAAATCTAAATATGACCTAAATCATTAAGAAATAAGACTATTCGGTTAATTAAAAGAAAAAATAAATATTTAATTTGATAAAAATGAATCTTCTCATATTTCTTTATTAGGTGAATTATGGTAATTATTAAAATAAGAAAAAATGAATTAAATAGAAAATCATGAGTGGATTTCTTTTGGATTTTAAGGGAAAAATCCATGTACTGATTTTAGAGGAGGAGGTCTTTTTTCTTTAGAATAGATGGTTTAGTTTTGTAAAAAAAATATAGGCTTAGTTAAAGAAGAAATGTGTAATGTTTAGAATGAATTTTTTTTTGCAATTTCGTCTATAAATGTGTCCTTTTTTTTAAAATAATGTCTACATTTAAGCGAAAACTTGGAAGTTTTAAAAGATAAAAATGTATATTGTAATAGAAAGTCCTTTAAAAATTTCTGCTAGATGCTTTGTAAGAATTAATAGGAAATTAATGAAGATGACTTAGTCGATTTATTACATGACTTATTACTTAAGGATATGTTTAGGATGTGGATTTTTATAAAGGAAAGAAATAATAAAATCTCTTTGGCTGATTATAATGTTGTTGAAAAGGAATTTAAATAAAAGTTTTATAGAATAATAAGTGCATAAGATTATTAAAATTTTAATTAGTTTAAAAAATAATATAATTGATAAAATATTTTGTTTTAATAATTTTTAATTAAATATATATTTAATAAGTATATATTTATTTTTTTATTAAAAGTTAAAATTTGTGTTATATGAATTATTTCTTTAATTTTATTAATATTTATTGGATGTAAATTAAAAAAAAATACATATATATTTTTTTAATTTGCTATTTTTTTTTTTAAGATTGAAATAAATTAAAAAAATGGAGAATTAATAATTGAAAAGAACATAAAAATAATAATAAAATTTCTATTTTAAATAAACCCAATTAAATTAAAGCTTGCAAAAATAATAAAATGACGATTTAAATTATCATAGTTAAAAAAAAATGCATGAAAATATATTAGATTTATTATAATAAGAAATATAAAATTTAAATGATGAAAATATAAAATGTTTATTAAAAAATAACGGTAATAATATTAAATATTTAATTTAATATTTTTTTCTTTTAAAATTACAAAGAATTTCATGAAAAAAAACAACATTTAATATAATAAGAACTTCAAAAAAAAAATTAATAATAAGAAAATATTTTTGTTTTAGACTAAGCAATTATTTCAAGAAATTAATGGATAAAAAATTCAATATAAAGAAATTAAAATTTTGAATTATAATATTATAATAATAATCAAAAAAAAAAATAGATGATATTTAGGATGAAGAAAAATCTATTATAGAAGGATTTTTATTAAAATAAAGTATAGGAATAATAAAATCTTGGAAAGTAATTATAAAATTTTATATTAAAGTTATTTAAAATAATAGAAAATATATTGTAGATTAACAAAAGAAAAACTTTATTTTTAAAAAAAATATAAAATGAAGGTAAGAAATAAAATTTAATTGGTTGTATTAGTTTCAAACATTTAAAATGTTAATCAGAAGTATTATTTAACTTTAATATAAATTATATAAAAATTATAAATGAATAAATATAAATAAATAAATAAATAAATAAATAAATAAATAAATAAATAAATAAATAAATAAACTTATTTATAGTTTGATGGATAAATATTAAAAATATTTGTAACTGTTAGAGATAAAAAAAAAAAATATTTATTAAAAAGTTTAGAAAGTTCAACATAATCAATAATAATATGGAATAAAAACATTCAAAAAGTAATAAATGAGTATTTTAATTAATAAAAAGTTTTTATTTCTCAAAAATGTCTGACAAATTATTTTTTAGAAGTAATTTAAAACAATTTATTTTTAATTTTTTTATTTTATTTTATTAAATTAAATAGAATGATATGTTGACAGAAGAAGAATTTGTCAAAAATTCTACAACAGGAGATTTATTACTATTTTAGTTATAAAATAAAAATAAAAATATTTAATATAATTATAAGAAATATGAATTATTTATGTTAAAATTTTTCCTTAATTTTTTAATTTTAGAACAAATAATTTCAATGCACACATATAAAGAGCAGTTACAAGAAGTAAATATGGTAATTTATAATTAAAAAATTATATTTATATATTATATATTAATTTATATATTTATTTTATTTTTATTTTATTTTTTTATTATCTTTATATGTAAATTCCTTTTTTTTATATATTTAAATTATTTTTCTTTTAATAAAAAAATGGTATTAAAAAATATAATTTTAATATATAAAAATATATGTTTATATTTTTTTATTTTAAATAAAGATCATATTGCAATGGCTGTAAAATTAAAAGATGGAATATTAAGAATTTTCGATACTTAAGGAGATGAAGGTGTTTAATTAACAGAGTGGGATACGTATGTAGAAGAAAATGATTTATTTTATAAGTTATTATTTTTTAATTTTTTATAATAAAAAATAAATTATTTAGAATCGTAACAAGATAATTAATTTATGAACATAAAAGATAAATATTACCTTGTTTATACTAATTTATAGGAGTAAAAATATTTAAAATTTTGAATATTCTTAAAAAAAAAAAGTCTGTATTAGGAGAAAAATATGGGCTTAATATAATAAAACTTGGAAGATAATATTCATAAGTACTTTCTCATGATAAAAGCAATGGTTTTTTCTGTTCAGAGCTGATGGCTAAAGCATATAAAATAATAGGTTTACTTGATTAGGAAAAGTCAGCATGTTAATATTGGCCTAGTATATGATTTTTTATTTTTTAATATTATTAAAAATTTTTATAGAAACATTTTCAGATAAATATTCAAACGAATTAAAAATGCTAGATGGATCTAAATTAGGAAAAGAAACGTCTATATTATTAAATAAAAATATTTTCCTAGAAGGAATGTAATCAGATGAAGATGATAAAAGTAATAATAAATGCTTTTGTTGATTTAATAATTAAAAAAAAAAAATAATAATGTTAAATAAAAAAAATATAAAAATAAATTAAAAAAAATATATATTTAATATATATATATACATATATTTTTATAAATATTTATATATATTTTAACCTATATATTTATAAATAATTATTAAAAATATATATTTTTGTATTTTTATATTTATATATTTAAAAATTTTTACATATAAATTTCTGATTATTATATTTTTTTTTTTTTTTTAATTACTATTACATTTTTAAATTTATATTTACTTCCTTTATATCTTTATATATTTTTATATCTTTATTTATATTTATATTTTTATATGTATTCATTTTTACTATTTTTAATTTATAATTTAATATTTACTGCTATAAAAAATTTTAATAAATTTTATTTATTTTTTCACATAGTCTTCTATACTTTAATTCCATATTTTGAATATATAATTTAATTTTTTTTTTAATTATATTTTTTCTAATAAAAAAAAATATTTCCATTTTTTATAAATTATTATTTATATTTATTATAATATTTTAATTTATTTATTTTTAAATATTTTTATTTATATTAAATATTATTAATATCTTCTTATTTCTTATTAAAAATTATTTTAATTTTAATAAAATAAAGATTTAAAACAAACAATTATAAAATTTAAAATATTTTTTTAAACTAAAAAATTTCAAATAAATTAATCATTTTTAACTTTCAAGTTTATTTATAATGGATTTATAGGTTGATATAAAAAGTTATTTTACATTTTTAATTCAAACCCTTCTTCACATTCAAAATCAAACGTTTTTAAAAAATAATATAATATTATTTTAGCTTCAATACTAGCCATATGTTAACCAAGGCAATTTCTTTCACCAGCACTAAAAGGAATATATGAATATGGAGGATATTTTATATCTTTTAACCATCTTTCAGGATCAAAAACATGAGGATTTTCATAATATAATGGATTTCTATGGATACCAATAATTAAAGGTGTGACTAAAGTTCCTTTTGGAATAAAAATATCTTTCAAATAACTATCCTTTATAGCTTCTCTATAACCAAGTTAATTAGCTGACGTATAAAATCTTAAACATTCTTTTATTACGGCATTTAAATAAACTAGAGATTAAATTTGTTCAAATTAAGCTTCATTTATTTCTTTTATAAGTTTTTCTTTAACTTCTTTATAT